ATTCCATTCTCTTCATCTTGGGCATACAGGGAGGTAAATTTTCCAGCTGTCCTTACAATTTGGTTGTGGCTATATGTTATCATGTAATGCTCTTTAAGAGACACAACGTAAACATCTCACAGAACTCTAGAACTCTCTTGCCCTCTCCTTTCCTTTGAAAGCAACCATTTAGGCCACGTGTTAAGATACTGAGTCAAAAGATGGAAACAGCCTAGGTCCCTGGAGAATAACACAGTTTAATCAGTAAACATGGATCAATAGAAATTATCTAATCTGATGAATAGAGTGGAGAAAAAAATGAAATGAGCAATGCCTCAAAGCCCTGCGAGGCAACATCAGGCATGCTAACATGTACATGAAAGAAGTAGTGGAGTACAGGAGGGGGAAGGAGGAGAAAAAAAATAATGCTGGAAGAAACTGTTCTCAAAATATTCCCAAAATTGATGAGAAATATTCATCTAAACATTTAAGAGTTTCAGCTAAACCTGAGTAGAATTAGAGTTCTACATCAAAGAGTAGGAAAATGTTATAAGGCACAAAGAAAGACAAAGACTTGAGAACAAGGGAACCATAATAAGATGAACAGCGAACTTTTCATCAGGAATAATGGTTCACAGGAGACATCAGAATGTTACACTGAAAGAGTTAAAGGAAACAAAACTGTAAACCAAGAAACCTAGGTCCTCCAAAACCATCCTCCAAAAATGAAGATGAAATAAAGACATTGCCAGATAAAATCTGAGAGGATTAATTGCTCAGCCTTGCCTTACAAGGAATACCAATGGAAGTCCATTAGTCTGAAAGAAATGAAACCAGACGGCAACTCCAACCCACATAAAAAAATGAAGGGTGTCAGAAATGGTAAACATGTGAAAGAGGCTATAAATATATTTATTATTTTTTCCTAAATTACTTAAGGTTTTATATAGCAGTATTTATAATACTGTTCTGCTGGGATTATAACACGTATAGGTCACATAGGGGAGGATAGAAAAAGGAGACATATTGGAAAAAAGATTCTATACTTTATGGGAATTAAGTAATACTATTCTGAAATAGGTTGTGAAAGACTGAGATAGATAGTGTAGTCCTTAGAGTGATTGACTCAAAAAAACATTTCTAAAAATTCAGAGGGTTTAAAATCGTTTGCTGAAAAACAAAAAAACAAGGCATTAAGGGGAAAAAAAGGAACAAAGGAAGATATGAGATGTACATAAATGTTCACAGCAGAGTTACTTATGATAGCCAAAAAAACAGAAGGAATTCCAATATCCATCAATGCATTACAGGACAAAGAAAATGTAGGATACCCATGTAACAAATTCAAGGAAGAGCTGATTCACAATATAACATGATTAGACCTTGAAAACTTACAGTGAGTGAAAGAAGCCATTCACCAAAGGTCATATATTTTATGACTTCATTTGTTTCAAAATGTTCAAAATAGGTCAGTCCATAGAGCCAAAAAGTGAGTATGCGGTTACCAGAAGCTGGGAAGGAGGGGAATGGGAACAACTGGGTTTGCGATTTCTTTTAGGCCTAATGAAACTATCTTAAATTTAAAACTGGCTCTCCCTTCACTACTACACATCCCTACAAACCAGCAAACTAATCAGCCAACTAACCAACAAACAAAAATTAGTTGTTATAAAAAAGAAGATGTTGGAAGGAATATAAAAGGTAAGTATCAGTGTCAGGCTTGGGAGAGAAAGTAAAATCTATGGCTACTTATTACAAACATAACAAGCGATGTGTTTTATCTTTTAATAATTTGGTGGGTGTGGCAAGAAGGGGGGAATAAAAAGAAGCCTAAAATAAATTTTGTCCATCCCAAATCTTGGTCAAGTATGACACCTAGAGGACACACAAACAGAATTTCTTTTAAAAAAAATAAGGCAAGATGCATCTGTGTAGAGAAAATATTTAAAATTTTTATTTCAAACTGGACATCCTTAGGCTCTATCCTACGTAACACTCTATCAATGAATAACTATATATTTCTTCATTTACGTGCTGTTTTTATTCATAAAACTGATGATGTTAAAAGTTTTTCCCCTCCCTGTCAAGTAATTGAATTTTTGATGATTTATTCTAAATGTTGGTACTAGTCACTGAATGTCATTACCCATATGACTTATGGGTTATGAAGTATGTTTATATGCTTATGTTTGAATAAAGAGAACACACTTGCATGGATATGCATACACCTCTCCCCCCTCCACTCTGTGCAGTTTAGAAATGATAGAAAAATAAAGACAGATGAAAGAACACCGTATAAGAGGTGACAGGTTCAGAATTGTCTCATTTCTAAACATTAAAAAATATGCTTTGCATTTTTCATCTATTGGTTTGGAAAACTTCTATGGCCCTGGCTCATTAATACTTGAACAGTTCTTTATGAAAAATGATGGAGGGCTTTCTTCATGGCATCTGGTACAGATGGTCAATTTAATCTGCATCCTTGAGACTTTTCATGACTAAATTTTGACATCATGTCATTAAACATTTGTATGTTATTTATATCATACTCTAGAAAACAAAAGAATGCTATGTATTGCTATCTGTTGCCACCTATCAGTTTTACTGATAGGATTTATCCAGCCGGACACTACAGCTTTCACAAAGGAGTGATATATATATATATCTCACTTCTGTCTCCTCAGAGACCCATACATCTTTGTCCCCAAGTGCAATAATGACATTGTTATAGAACAGATACGTAGCAGAGGTGGAGACAGATGTTTACATGACTTTGTTTCTATAACCTTGTCCAGACTCGTCTTTACTACTGACTGATGGTGAATGTGTATGTGTTTGTGTGTGGCCCCCTAAGCCTTGTATAAATGGTAATCAAAAGAAGGAAATCCATTGTTGGCTATTTTCAAACACTATCATAGAATATTCACTCGAGTTGTTTATTTTAAGTGGCAGCAAATTTTGACTTAGAAGTGGTCCTTGGCTCATGCTTGAGGTTGTGGTTATAATGTTTTAAATTTCTCCCAGTTGAGCACTTATTATAAAACCATGGATAAACATAAAGATTAGAATCTTAAAGTTTCTTTTGACATTAACTTACTAAGTTTAGCTTCTGATGACTTTTCAAAGGGTTAAGTAATTGCCCTGTACATTAAATTGTACTAACTTGACTCCTTACATTCTCTGCTTTCTGTTGTTATTAATGAGTTTTTACTTGGTGAATGGATTTGGGACTTCCCAAGAATGCTTAGAATGGAGTCATATTAACAGTACTTTCCATTTAAAATCCTCCCCGTGTCAGAGTTAGAGGATTTCAAGGTTTAGGACTGTTTTGGTAGCTGAGAAATACAAACAAACTGGATAGGCAAGCACTGCCACTGTGGAGTGCTATTGCGGTTTCCCCTAAGAGGTCAGAACCAAGCACTATTTTCTTCTTTGGTGTGACTGCTTCTTGTTTGGTGTAACTCCTTCAGGGAGCCGTACATTAGTTAAGATCAGGCTTCCTTTGTATCCCTTATCAACCCATAATCTTTTGATTGTTGCCTGTTTTTACCAGTGAAGAAATAGTAATCCACACTAGTTTATCTCTCCTAATCACAGACTCAAAGAGCTAGGGCTCTCTGAGCTTTTAATTCCCTCTTAGAGGCCTAACAGAGTGGAAAGTAAACAAAGAAGGAATTTGCAACCTTCAACATTGCTAATTTCCTCTGATGTCAGAATACTTAAACAGGCAGGATCTGGGAATTATTTGATCAAACCTGCTCTTAATCTAATGCATGCAGAAGGGCTGTGTCTGGAATGATGTGCAAAACGACAGGCGTCCCAAGGGACCTTTATGGAAGGTTTCCTCTTTCAGAAACAGTAGCTTCCTCATTTTAAACTCTTGGTTGGCTCTGCTGATGAAGTAAATTCACAGAAGTACTTTTCCTGCTTTTTAAATTTTATTTTCATTTGGTCAAATATTGCTGACCGGATGTGAATAGTTTTCTTTGGCTTGGCTTTCTGTTTGTAGAGTTTTTAATTGGCTAAATGCCTTGATATTACTTTAGCTTTATTAGGAAATGAATTAATAAAAGGTCATAATTGGGGGAAATAAAGAGAAAGGGCAAAAAGCATAATCTGACATCACACACATGCCTCCATTACTACTGGTTTAAGAAAGTGAAAACACAAAGAACAAAAGACCCAAAGCCATGAGGTTGTTCAGATCCCCTTTTTCTACACTAAGAGTTCAGAGAAATGACGGCCGAGGATGTTTACGTAAAGAATTTACTAATTTGGAGATATTGAAACAATGAAAACTCAGTTTTCCCTTTAATTTTACGCACAAGTTTGTGAATATTGAAAAGCAGACTATTTTGGCGGAGACAAGTAAAGGGAGACCAATTAATTTTATTTATCCATATTTCAGATACAATTTTAATAGTTTTTGTAAAATGTTATCCACAAAACTAGATAGCATTGCGAATACTTATTATTGTGCATATTAATTGTTTTAAAAAGCTACTAAAACACAATTTTGATTTGCCAGAGTAGATCAATATCACTCATATTTTTATTGAGAATAGATTAAGTTGAAACATTTTTAAAAAGTGGTGAAGTGCATTTCCGCAGTAAGTGAACACCTTTGTTGTTTTCCCATGTTTTCACATCTGATCATGAGTACTGCTCCCCACAAAAAGTGATTCAGAAGGCACCACTGAAAATCAATTATAAACAATGATACTTTGTGTACATATACGGTAAGAATAACATACTACTAGAACTAGCCTTTGACTCCTTGAGTGACGAGGAATTTCAATGCCTGTTATTTGTCAGCTGAAGCCTGTCGGGTGATGATTCTTTTTATTGGTGTATCCTTCCAAACATATTTCATCACACCATGTGCACAGGAGTTCTTTGGGCGGGTATGTTGCATCTGGGTGCCCCCTGTCTCTTTCGCTCGCTTCCTTTCTCGCCCTCGCGCTCCCCCCATCCCACCCCCTCTCCCTCATTTGGGCTCACGCCCCCTCCTCTCTTTCCAGCTGGCGGCCGGGGCTGCGAGGCTCACCAGACCTGGAGGACCTGCTCAGTCAGCTGGGGCCCCCTGCGGACGGACGGCTGCTTCCCTCGCCACTAGGACTTGCGACTGTGCGCGGAATGGCAGCCGCAGCAGCATCCCCGCCAGCGGAGGTGGCGGCTGCAGCCACGGCCACCGCGGACGCTATTGTTCCCCGGTGTTAAAAGAGCTTTCACTCCTTTTCATCTGAAACGAACAATAGCAGGGAGAGCTTTGCTTTCTGTACTCCTTGGGAAGACATTCCGAGGGCAAAGAAAAATTCCCTGCCCACCGTGTTCCGGATCTGGACCCTGGAGCGGCTGCGAGCGGCATGGGGCTGCCAGCGAGGCGCTCGGCGTCGCGGAGCCCGGGAGCGGAGGGCCCGCGCCGGGGCGTCCTGCAGCTGCTCCCGCTGCTGCATCTGCTCCCGCCGCTGCTGCTGCTGCTGCTCTGCCCGGGCGCCTGCGGGGCTGCGGCTCCGGGTGAGGCCGAGGCACCCACCCTCTATCTGTGGAAGACTGGTAAGTGGGACGGAGTTCCCTTGCATCCCATCTTCACTGCTGGGCACCTTACCAAACTGCCGGGCTTCGGGAGGGACCCCTGTGCTTCTCAATGGCTCGGGTATGCTGGGATCCTAGGGTAAAAGTATGATTCTTAGGAAGCAAATTAGGTCACGTCCGATGCTATTTGGAAAGAGAAGCCTAACGACTACGAGGCATTAGTGACTCACTGGAATGAGCTCTCTCTGGCGCAGCTCTGTAGTTAATAAGGACAACCGACGCTGCACTTTCGAGATGAAGTGCTGTGCTTTTAACCTCTGGATTCTCCTTCTACTACGGAGTTTCTTAAATGTATTTCTAGCAAAGAACTAGCGAACAGTTTCGCCCCGGTCCTTATTCTGTCTCGAGGCAAACTCTGTGTTCAGTGCCGAGATACAGATGGGGACAGAACTGAATTTTTTAAGTATAGCTTTGTGATATGTGGGACACGTGGCAACAAGCCAAACCAGAGCAGTTCTGACAGTGAAAGGCGAACGGGGCTCCAGTGAGCTCTCTGAGACCAGGTGAAACTCAGTTCTCCTCGAGTGAATTGCGGGGTTTTTGAAGTGCACGATTGTCAGGATGTTTAGGTTTAAACTTTCTCTGCCTGGAGAATTCTTTTGCTTTGTTTTGAACCAGCCAACACAAGCAGCAAGTAATTACTCCTCAGCACCTCCTGGCAAAGTGCTGACTACAGGTCCTGGTGGAGCAGTGACAGGCAGGAAAACAATACCAAGTGAAGAATCACCGCTCCCTCCCCAGCGACTCCTTTCTCCTCTGAAGGACACTGAGAGTTCTTCAGCAGACTTGAAACTTGTGATGTTTATCAGAGTAAAGTGGGAAACGTTTTTCCTGTTGCTTAGAGAGAAGGATAAATTAAGTTTCTTGGCAATGCCTAGACATTAAATGAAGCATGCTGGAGAAAGGAGGGAGAGTATGTATTCATTATGGGTTTGCAAACAAGTTACAGGAGAATGAGTCTGCTAACTTCAGCTGTCAGTAGTTCTCTGCTACACAGACAGCTCAGTCTACTCTGCAATTATACCGATATCCTGAATTTTTAAAGTTGTTGCATCTCTCCAACAACTTAGTGAGATTGAACAGAAATTGATTTAAAACTAACTTACATGATTTGGCTCACAGTGTTGCACATAATATACACCCACTGTTTTTTTAGAAAAACCATTTGGATTAATGTTAACTGTTGTTAACACTTGTAGTTTCAAGATGATGAGTGGATGTAGATCAAATCAAATGAATTTCAGTGTAAAACAAAGAGTAGATCTCTAGTTTAGTTAAAGCCATAGTTTTACTTTTAAAAAGCTCAGTCATAACAACACATACTAATTAAACTATACTTTACCATTAAATGGTATTATTTGGATGGTTGGTGGGAGCTTCTCAGGTAAGTGTGGGACAAAATAGTGCTTGCCAGGTTGAATTTGGTGCTGTTAAAGTAACAAGAGCCAAGCAGTTATTCAGATAGAAAAAGAGTCTAGGCAACATTTAGTGTGCAGGAACGGAGGTGCCAATATATGTCAACATAAATGTCATGGTGGGAACACAAGCCGATAAACAGTTTGCAATAGCGGGAAGCTGTTGCAAGCAAGGATGTGGAGACCTTGGCTGCAGCAGCAGTTCCAGCTCTTGCTAGCTATGGGAATGTTGGCAGTGCACTTAACTTTGATGCCTCGTTTTTTCAGCTGCATAGAAATGTGGTGATACCCTCTCTGACTATTCACAGTATTATGAAGATCAAATGAGAGAGTTATGAGAAGTAATCTGTAAACTCCAATGTTGTGTGCTTGTCCAGATACAAATAGGCTAGTATGAGAGGGATGATAATGACATCTTTTCAATGGCGATTTGCTGGCTTGGGGGGAAAAATGGTAAATTAAACTGGAGAGCAAAATAATGATCTCTTTATTGTTTTTGAGCAGGAAAGGCAATTTTACCATGTCTATAAAGGAATTGAGAGTACTTATTGAAGGGACTAGGGAATATTTGAAGGGGAGGGATACATTGTAAGGGATACATGAAAATGTAGAGATGACAGAATCATAAGTGTTTCTCATTTAATGAAGATAAAAACTCAGGAGGGAACTGGGAAAGAAAATGAGGTGAGACAGTCCAAGATATCTATTCCATTAGGATAACCTTGGTCTGGATACAGCAGATTATATGGAGTCACATTATTGGTGAGATCATTGAAGTGATGGAGTGAAAGGTACAGTGGATGAGAAGCTGGGATAGAATTCTAACACTGTGTTGATCAACAACAAGCTCTAGAACCTTGGCAAAGTCATTTGACTTTGGTTCTTGGCTTCCTATTTTGTAATAATCATTAATTAGGAAAGATGATATTGAAGGGCCTGGTCAGCCTGAAAGTGTATCAATTGTATGTACACATATGCATATACATGTACTATAAACACACATATATGTGTATATACCTAATACATTAACATGTATATAATAAATGCATGAACATAATACATAAAGTTTGTGACATGTAATATACTACATAATGTATATTATATGAAATTTTAATGTATAATGTATATTACATAAAAGTTTTGCCCTGGCTGGTGTGACTCAGTGGATTGAGCATGGGCTGTGAATCAAAGGGTCACCAGTTTGATTCTCAGTCAGGGCACCTGCCTGGGTTGCAGGCCAGGTCCCCAATAGGGGGCATGAGGGAGGCAACCACACGTTGATGTCTCTCTCCCTCTCTCCTTCTCTTCCCCTCTCTCTAAATATGAGTAAATAAAATCTTTTTAAAGAAGTTTTATTAAATCAACTCACAACAAAGAAATGATTGAGGACTCACTGTGATTTACATGAAGTCATGCAGTAGGAGAAGCTGACTAGGATATTGTCATCTCTGCCCTCAAGAAACTTGCTGTTGAATAATGCTACATGTACACAAGAATTACAACATGGCATATATCATATTCATAAAAGACACACTGTGAGAGCAGGGAGGGTGTGTAGCTGATAAAGGGGGTTGTGCAAAGTTTTAAACAGGAGCTAATGTTGATCTGGATTTTGAAGGAGGGGCTAGATTTTTACTCAGGGAGTAGTAGAAGTCCATTCCATCAGAGGAAAGAGAGAAAACAAAGGTGACGGGCATGAAAACATTCCTAGATCTTGGAAATACTGTAGCTGAAGTCCAGGATGTTTGGTCAGAATGAATGTATTTAATGCCAATGAGGTGAGTTGCGTCAGGTTGTAAGAAAACCTTCAAACCATGGTAAAGATGGTAGAGTTTAAACCATAAGCAGGTGGAAACCATTGGAACCTTTGAGTAAAAGTATTGACTTATTCTTTGCCAGGAATGGAGAGAGGGGAATTCAGAGGCTAATAGGTCAGTAAGGAGAGGGACTAGAGGCAAAGGGGAGCAGAACTAAGACCATAGAAGTTTCAGTGACAGATGATAGCGGAGGACTAGGGGTCACACTGTAGAAGTTTTAGCTGAGGTGTAGAGCACAGGGAAGAAACTCTGTTCCCTGTACTGTGCGGTCATTGCATTCAAAATGACTGAGCAAGTAGAGCAAAGGATCTGAATCAAATTTTGCATTAAGCTTGAACATTCCTCCATGGAAATGATTCAAATGATTAAGAAGGCCACCGTTATGGACAGCTGGTGATGGGCAGCTTCATCATGATAACATGAACATTCATGTGTCACGTCTTCTGCAGAGTTTTCTGGCAAAACATTAAATCACCCAAGTGACTCAGTCCCCCTATAGCCCAGATTTGGCACCCTACAACTTCTGGCTTTTCCCCAAACTAAAATCACCTTTGAAAGGGAAGAAATTTCAGAATGGTGATAAAATTCAGGAAAATATGAGGGGGCAGCTGATAGCAATTGGGAGAACTGTGTGAGGTCTCAAGGTGCCTACTTTGAAAGGGACTGAAGCATCGATGTCCTATGTACAATATTTCTTGTGTCTTGGATCTTCTTCAATAAATGTCTTTATTTTTCATATTACATGGCTAGGTGCTTCGTGGGGAGACCTCATATGCATGTTATATATGTATATATTACATGTATGCTATATATGTGTTTATACACATACACGTTTCATATATGTATATGTAGTATATGTATATATATTTTTTACTTAATTGCTTTGCCTTTCTTTTTCACCTAGATCTCCTAGCCTGCTCCCATCTGACAGTTGTCAGTCTGTTCCATGTGTCTATGCTTCCGTTTCTATTTTGTTAAATTAATTTGTTTATTAGATTCCACAGTACATGAAATCATGTGATGTTTGTCTTTCTCTCATTGGCTTATTTCACTTAGTGTAATGTTCTCCAGGTCTATCATTGCTGTTGCAAAAGATAAGATTTTCTTCTTTTTTGCTGTTGAGTAGTATTCCATTGAGTAAAAAAAAATGCACCATAGCTCTTCTGTCTGCTCACCTATTGATGGGCACTAGGGCTGTTTCCAGATACTGGCTATTGTAAATAACGCTGCTATGAACATGGGTGTGTATATATTCTTTTGACTTAGTGTTTTGGGTTTCTTTAGGTATATTCCCAGTAGTGGAATCACTGAGTCAAAGTCAGTTCCATTTTTAATTTTTGAGGAAATTCCATTCTGTGTTCCACAGTGGCTACACCAGTCTCCATTTCCACCAACAGTGTGTTAAGGTTCCCTTTTCTCTACATCCTTGCTAGCACTTGTTGTCTGTTGATTTATTGACGATAGCCATTCTGACAGTCATGAGGTGATATCTCATTGTGGTTTTAATTTGTGTCTCTTTGGTGATTAATGATTTGAGCATATTTTTATATGTCTATTGGCCATCTGTATGTCTTCTTTGGAGAAGTATCTATTCAGAAACTTTGCCCATTTTTTTAAAGGTAGTATTCTTTTTTTTTTTAAGATTTTATTTACTTATTTTTAGAGAGGGAAGGGAGGGAGATTGAGAGAGAGAGAGAGAGAGAGAGGGAGGGAGAGAGGGAAAGAAACA